ATCACAAGTTCAGCATCAGGAGAGCCATTGAGGAGGAATTCTTTTAATTATGTTTGCTTTTGTAATACTTATAATTATTATGTTTAAAGTTTAAAGCGTATTTTTCTATTAAAGTTTATTTTATTAGTCACCAAGAAGACTGTTCTAAAATGAAAATACCGTTGACCCGAAACGTCTTCTTAATACACGCATTTTGGTTGATTTTGACCAGCAGCCAAAAAAGTTGCCGACGCCTAATTTAGATAGTTCAACGAAGAATCATCGTTTGTATGGCAGCATACCATGATTTCGTTCCAGATAATACCTTGCTCTTCCATTTTCTTATAACTCGTTGCGGTCTGCCGAATAACTTCAAGGTAGGGTATGTTATTACTTCCGAACAAAGCTGAAATGCAAATAGGGAATTTTCCACCTGAGGCGAGCATCGAAAGCACATGCCTTTTCACGTCCCATTAGCAACGTCATTAGCATGGGATCGCTTCGTAAGAATGTTCCACTATAGAAGTGTGGCACTTTTATGCAAGTCGGCTACTGTTCGAAGTGACAGATACCTTCATTAGAGTATCCCGATACACAGGTGTACGCCCCTTGTGAGACTCAGCTTCTAACTTAAAAAAAAAAAAAAAAGCAATCTTCATAAAAATGTGTGAGTACCTTTATTTACGGGCACCCTTATTGAAATCCGATTGCACTTGCGCAAGCGTGCATCGGTATAAAGGTGCCACACTTAACTTGAACAAAGGTTTTATATTTGTTTTACTATGTTTTATATTTTGCTTACTAAATATAAACTTTATAAAGGTTGTCATTTTCAAGTTAGAAACTGATTTTAATATGAGTGCTTTCGCCTTTATGCCAGGGCACATTTTGCATAACGATGCGTACACCTACGTGGCGGGACACTGCTTCGAACGAGTCCCAACGTGGTATTTTATACTTTACCTGTTTGTCTTTTGGAATTGCATAGCATACTTAGGAAATGTATGAAATACAAGTAGTTTCATACTTTGACGAGAAGTTTTAAGCATTCTGTATCTTGCCTAGTTATTCTATACAATACTGCTTTATATGCTTTGCCGGTAAATATGATTTAAGCACGCAAAAGGATAGGGGCGCTACTAAGACCTGTTTAAAGAAGGAAGTCGTGGGTTAACCTAGAAAGGTTTGAGAAACACTGCTGCAGATTTTTTTAAATTGTATTTGTATGTAAATGGAAAAAATCGAAAGTTTAAGAAATTTTTTCTTGTTAAGTTACCTTTTAAACTGCATTTTTGGGGAACTTAATTAAATAAAAGACGCGCGGGACAAAACAAATGATTTTAGATTTACATTTTTAAAATTTCATATATATGATTTTTATTCTTATACTTTTTATTTACATTCACACTCATATGTATATTTAAATATGTTTTCTCTTATTTTTCTCTTGCGTTTAACTTTTTATATCTCAGTATAAGAAAACAGTTTCTTGAAACTTTGCATTTCAAGGCCTAGAATTGTAAATTACTTCATATTTTTTGCAAAAATTGTGGAAATTATTCTAATTTAATCATAGATTTTTATAGTTTATTAATGGAAAAATAATAATATTTAAGACTGACACGAAAACTAATGCATTAAAATTGCAAGAACTTTGTCAATTCCAAAGCATCAAATAAGTCATGTGCACAAGAAGTACTTTTATATACTAAAAATTTTGAATTTTGAAGCATATTAAATATGCATTCAGGAAAATGAAATTAATAAAGGGTATTATTAAGTTTATTCAGAAACACAGCAGACGTTTGATAAGTAGACTATTCTATCACTTTGTTTCGATATTCGCTCCGCCTACCTAAAGCTCCTAAGGCATATTTACAAGTTAAAAAAGTAGATGAAAGATAAAAACAATATGCACTTACATACAATAATTACCAAATAGAAGTTGAACATGAAGGAAGCCTTGATATATTTATTTAAGTATTCAACAATATTGAAGTTTTTCATGTTATCTAGCTACTCTAAGTACCGAAAACAGTGTAAAATAGCGGAGAAAATAGTATAAAAAATAGTGAATTCTTCACTCTATACTGAATATTATGGATGCTGAGTAAGATTTTAATGAAGTCTGATATGTAAGTTCTGCTCCTATAACAGAAAAGTCACATGAAATGAAGTTAACACTGCATACGACAGAAAGATTTTAAAACCATTTATATAAAATAGAAAGAAAACTTAACGACAAATAATGCAACAAAAATGGCGAAGTTTCGAAAATCACCGAGGAAAATATTTGCATTGCAAGTTTTCTTTGAGTTTTTACTTCATCTTGCATAAATATATGAACACAGACTCTGCAACTGACTTGCAAAAGTGGCATTAGTCTAGAATATTTCGAGTATATGCGTATGGTTAGTATTTTTCAATTCTCGTAGCTGTTGACAGCGAATCTTTAAAATTCGTATAAATATTTGTGACTTAGAATGTTAAATGAAAAAAAACTACTAATGTGCTCCTAATTATAAACATAACAATAATATAATGCTATTGTTTTAAGTAGATTAATTAAAATTATATTCTCATTTACAATGGAAGATTTGTTATGGCTGACAATAAAGATACTGCATAGAAATGGATGAAGTGCATAGAAATAGTAATGCAGTGAAATATTAAATTATATAATTTACTACAAATACTGTATTCGGTATTATAGCGTAAACAGTCACGCAAAGTAACTTATTCACAACATTTCCGGTGAACTTAATTCTGAAATGAAATGTGATTATACTGAATATTATTAAAAACATTTAAAAATTGTGAAAAAATATTTTAAGTAATGTAAACCATTAAAGCTGGCTGTCTTACGTATTTGCATTATCGAAGGCTTGAGCAAATATGCGTCACATTTCAATTTTTAATACTTCATTCTTTTGTTACCTATAACGTATTTTCATATTTACATGCTTGTTAATTGAATCAATTGCATTTATTCCAAACTAACGGACTGCTGCTTTAATTTTATTGTTAAACTTTCATAGCTTTTGAAATATTTTTTGATACTAATATCGCCAAAAAAACTGATTTATTGAGTTTTCATTCAGAGAGTTTTAACTTTAAAGTTAATCCGACAAGGTGTCATTGCTATCTAGAGGATATGGAAAATATCTATCTTTAAAATAATCCAGTTTCGAGATATTCCAGTTTATTGAAACACTTCGGCGTCTTTCAAATTTGAGTAATAATAACAAGATTCTCACTATCCTGGAGTAATTAGTTTTAGTCACGGGACTAAAACTATTTTAGTCGCAATTTCGATCACTGGATATTATATTTTGTAAAAATTTAAAACGTAAGTTGAAAATAATATCAAGAAAATGTCACTTTATTACTATGCTTATATCATCAGATTTTATTAATACTTAAAAAATATCCAAAACTAATTATGGGGAATTTTTTTGCTTGAACAAGAAACAGAATTATTAAGAAATTTCATTGCCTGAAAAGCATGGCTAACAACGAATAATTTCGACCGGAATTTATATTAAATTAAGGAGGCGTTTAAACTAAAAGATTGTTAACGCGATTTACATTGTTTAATTAACCTTTTAAGTTTACACCGGTAGTTATATTAGATTTATTTAACTTGGGAGATTTTAAGCAATGTTCAAGGAATAAATAAGGAAAAATGCTTCATTTACTACTACATTCAGACGAAAAGAATTAAAACTAAATATATTCGAAGTTTTTATAATAAATAAAAAATGAATAAATATTACATTCTTAAACTTTCATATGATTAAAAGCAAAAATAACACCAGAAACTGCACTGAAATAAAAAGCTAGTTAACTGCACAAAGATCTGAATTTTTCTTTAATTATACATTTCGTCGTTACTAATTTTGAGATTTTATAAACATAATAATATCGTATCAAGCGAATTATTATGGAGGGGCTATTTTTCTTAATTACTTTGCAGGTTATCTGACCTAAAGGTGACATTTCACGTCTATCAATTTTAAAATGTATAAGTGATGTTATTACATCAAACTGCATGCAAATCATTAATGTACTTACGAATTCTAATGTCTAAGAAATGTACGAATTAATTTAATTACCTGGAACTATACACATGCAACCAGATTCAGGTACGACATAGCACGGCTGATAAAATTCTTAATGGAAAATACTGAATATCGTTAGTCTAAAATAAATGATGGAAAAATCCAAATTTTTAACAAACAAAATTTCTCGAATTTTAAAAGTTGATTTATGCCTCCATTTAAAACTCTCAAATAAGTTTAAATAAAAAGGATCATTTTCATTTTTGAATTATATCTTTCAATTTTGTACTGCTGTAACTGCTAGAATAATAAGTTCATGACTTTTACAATTCATTTCTTAACGAACGAATGCTAAATAAGAAATAGGCCCACTTTTGAAGAAATACATTTCCTCTGCCCATATATTATTATTCTTTAATTTGATTTTTAATAGTATTTTATTCTTCTAAAAATGCTGCTAAAATGCGACTAAGTAGTTGGTTATGACATCTGTTTTCTGATGCCTTAAAACGATATTTAGTATGTATATATTTAGTTTAGTAGTACATAGCAATAGAAAGATTTCACGTAATTGTTCAGTTTTATGGATGAAAAATTTCGAAATTATGTCGTAATGTCAGTTTACCTGATGAGGTTTAGATATTCGTAGAAAACGTACTTCCATAGCTAACACGTATAGTGTTAAATAGATACTTTGATCGTAGTTATCAATAAATAAGTATTATTCCTGCAACGGAATAACATTCAATCATTTGAGATTTCATTACATAATTTGTTTTTAGAAAATATAAAAAAAGCTGAAGATTACATTAAGTAAATTATGTGTTATACATTTGTATTCAGGGAATATATTGCGATTAATAAATTAAATAAATTTGTTCTTTTTTAGCTAAAAATGTCCCGATTCAGTTTGAATGTTTCTGATGGTAATTTTAAATCTTTAAATGTGTGTAAATTAAACTTTTGTTATTAGGCAGCTTATCCTGATGATAAACTAATGAAAATTATACTTGTCATAGTATAGTATCTACTAACAGTCTTAATTGTTGGTGAAGTCTTGCTCTGTCGAAAATCTAATAGCAATATTTGAGGCTAGTAAAACAACAGATGCTCCATTAGGTTGCCAAAGAATGCTGAACTTGGCAGCAATTGTCAAAATCGAAAAAAGTAAACTTTGGCAACAATACAGATTGAGCAGTACTTTTATCAGGTTATGCGTAAGGTCTATAAATTGTCTGCTTTTTATAAAATTTTGCTCGCTCACAATTAATGTTATTTAATTACATTTTATACTTTCAGAAAATAAAGTTGTAATAGCAGAACAATTAATGTGAACGTAGATAATTTGTGATTTTGCAGATATTCAAAATTTCTCATAAATTCGTATTTTTATAATTTTCTGTACACTATATTATTTTTTTAAAATTAAGAACATTTCACTTGAAGTTTGGCTGACAGTTCAGTATCATTAAGTAATTTTGAAAACATTCTAGAATGAAGCCTATAAATTCCCTTTAATAACTTTACTAATATGAAATATTTCGCATGCATATTTAAAGAGTTTGCTATTTCGTTTTGATTGGATGCGTTCGCAAAAGTAGGTACTTAATGATACAAGCAATATTACCTTTCCTACTTCAGGCTCATAACTTATAATAATGAGATAGTTATGTAAAATGTACTTACAATCCACGGTTAAAAGGTTACCTTATAGTCACAGTTGATTAGAAATGGATGTAAAAATTATAGCAAGAATATAGATTGGCAAAAAGAGTACTAGTTAAAATTCAGAAAGAAACCAATATGATAGTAAACACCTAGTCGTATATGGATGTTTAATCGATAATTAGCGTTTTTAGACGTAAGACGCAACTTGAAATAGAAATTGCTATATCGCATTACAAGCGCGTATGATACTTTGTAAGTAACCATCATATCGAGTTAATTAAGGACATGCAATTAATATTTATGGTAACTAAAATGACAGAATAAGTAAATGAAATTTCTTACCAACATCTCTGACAAAACTACTACTATTTACAAAACATCTAAAAAACATAACAAACATAATTTTACTCAGCTCTGGCACAACATTAAGTTAGTGAACTTTAGTTTACTTTGAAATCTGCTTGAAGGTATTCACTGAAGATCTAATCACTCTTTACATTGGAGGTAATGGATATTTCAAACAGTGGATGAGAGATTTCACACTCAAATTTCATCAGCAATCACAAATCGAAGCATTATTTGAAGACAAAATACATTAGGATCTTTCATGCAAACTTCAGTGAGTTGCTAATCGCGATTAGCTGACAATTTCACATGCATCTAACATACATATAACGGCTGCTGCTAGACGCTTACGAACATAAAGGAAATTAAAACCACATGTGTTTTGTGAAAACAGCACAAATATACAATATCTCATCAGATTTTACCTAAACATTATGTGCCACGTGCTTTGTGTAAGAAACACTAGTATTACAAATGTTCAAACCACAGTTGCAGAATAAAGTCATCACGCAGACTAAAATAAATTTTGAGCATTCTGAATACTGGGTACGAAATGAAACATTCAGTGAGTGGTTTCGTAAGTCATAAACGAAGGTTTCAACCAATTTTCTTGGATCGTGTAGGAAACAGCACTATATGACATATGGAAATTTGGTTTAAAAAACTCCTAATTATGTAACATTATCAAGTAAACTCATTAAAGCTTTCATTCAGCACAGAAGTCTCCTCCCCCCATACAGTAAAAATATAAACAACATCAAATTTCACAATAACGACTGGATTTAAATAAGGGTGTATAGGAGTACAAGTATTGCTAGACTAGAGAAAAACGTAAGTCTAGGTTTCGGACAATTGACTACATGTAAATTGAAAAAATAATTCTTGAGGTAATGAGTGTCACAAAACATTTAAACTTCTGTGTTTGGTACAGACAGGAAGACAAATAAAAACGCAAGTTTTGAGCATTCAAACACAGAAAAGTGCAGTTGAAAATGTAAAAAAAAGTTTTTCATTCTCCTGAAACTCGCAGGAGAATGCATCAGCAAAAAAAAAAAAAAAAAAAAAAAAAAAAACTGCAAAATATGTGCTTTTAAAAGGAATAAAAGCTTAACAGAAAGACAAGCACTTGTTTTTAAAAGCATGTGATAATATAAACATGGTGAGCAGCTTAAGAAAATAACAGTCAAATCAACCGCAACATTAGGTGGTACATTAGAGAAACACTGCTCTAACCAATAGTGCCCTGCGTGGCGAAGCTGACGCTTCAATTCCTGGTCTAGACCAAGAAATTGATAGGCCAAGAAACCGCTTTTCACCAGCGAATGATTCACTACTACAGCATCATCGCCATATGGTGAAATGAAGAACGGCTCTTCAAAAGATATCATCTGATAATCAGAAGCAATTTTTTTCCACACCTGACAGCTGTGGGCCATACTGTCACTCCGAAGAACCAATAACGGTGCAATCGGTGTCGGTACCAGATCCGGCTCGAATTACTGAATTTACTCTCTTGATTGCTTCGGCAATGGTTGGCGCGGCGATGCTCTGGTAGGAAGGTGGCAACTCATCATCCTCGTTGTTTTCATTTATGCTGCCAGGCGACTCGCTATCCAGGGAGTATTGAGGTTGGATGAGAGGTGGAATTTTGGTTACATCGAAAGCAATTTTTTCCGGGTCGAGGCCAGGGGAACCGGACTCCTTCTTTTCGGAGGATCTACGAGTGCTACGTAGGGTGAAGTTGATAGTGCGGGCGCGGAAGGATTGGAGGTCCCGGTCTGATCCCAAACCAGCGCAGTGCAGAACAGAACGAAATGCTCGTTTGAAGTCGCGACTGGAGCAAGCGTATATAATGGGATTCAAGCAGCTATTGAAGTATCCGGTCCAGAAGAAGATATCAAAGAGAAGATCAGGGATGTAGCATTGACGACACAGAGTACCTGCAATATAATAAAAAAAACCATGCACAAATTTAGTTGTGTTAAATAGTTTCGTCTAAACAAAGATTCACTGAAAACGCAGAAAATTAAAATTCATTTAAAACATAAGATTATAAAAATTAGTTAAAGCGATCATAATTTTGTAAAAGTAAGTAATGTATTACCTAAAAAATAACCGCAACTGAAAATTTTCAGTATCATTAACAAAGGTTTAATCAATCTATCTATCTCAGCAGCGGACTAGAAAATAAAATGCTACTCAATATCGTAAAATATACTTAAAATTAGCTACTACAAATGGAAGTTAAGAAATGTTATTCGTTCTATCTCTGCAAAAGAGATTTTCAGTTATTCGTTCCGAAAGAAATCAAAGTGACAACTTTAATCTTATAACGAACTGAAAGCTATGACGGTGAGGCACAAATAATTACTCCTTACATATATTTCATTATTTTATGGTTTTATTGGGAATTTTGAATTGAGCAGCGGGGTGCTATTTTTTCCCAAACTGGTTTTGTACATAAAAAATGAAAAACTCTCTCAACTTTGTTTTTGTAAATTAATATTTTCAATCGAACCTTTGCTTTCCAGTAACTAAAATATCCCTAAACAACGGCAGTGGCACGCGAGATTTTGACTTATGATAGAGATATAATTATATATTAATATAGTTGTATAAGGAGTATTTTCAAAAATTTCTTCATGTGTAACACAATACGGGACAGTTTGTCTCAGAACATCCTCCGTTACGGCATCCTTCTAGAAAAGTATCCCTGAAGTAATTCGCTTTAAAGCATTAAATGCCTTACTTAACCTTTCGAAATATGCACATTAATTGTATCAGAATTTAGAATTCGAACTATTCAGTTATTATTCAGAGTAATGAAAGGTTTTTAAGGATCAGTATTAACCTTGCATTATTCATTTCTTCGTTATAACATTACCAAATAAGTTTTATTCATTTCGAAGCTAAAACTAGATTTTATCAATAAAAGTAGATTACTTTTAATTCATAACAAATAAGAATTTCGTCAAGCTCTTTTAGACAAGATCCAAAAGAACTTTAAGCAGTAAAGTTTAAACCACAAATTCTTATAAAGTAAGTCCGTCTATGGTTATAATTCTTTTGCAAAACTTCTCGAAATTGTATATTGATACTGCTGCTGACGTAGTTGCTATTAGATTTTGAAGTATTTTACTGGAAAGTTTCTGATTTAAACATTTACGCATGTACTTCTTTCTTAAAAAAGTAATTAAGTTAAAGTCAACAATGTTTCGAATGGTTGTTGAAGGTTAAACCCCAAAATAATGAAATTATAATTGTTGAAAGAAGTAGGAAACAATAAGAGAACCCTCTGGCAAAAGCCTGAATCAAATTGAAATAAATGAAATTGCAATTTCCAACTCATTGAAAAACTACAGTTTTGAAAGCGATTGAAAAAACGTAGTTAAGACATTTCCCAAAAGTGTTAGTTTAATCATATACACTTTTCTTTGTAAACTAACGGTATATACTTGTATTCAGGGCTCATAAATTTTATGAGAACGACATTTAATGAATACGATTAATCGTGTTTGCTATCAACTTCATATGTCGAATATTAACAAAAGATCTCTTACTTCATATATATAGCCTTTAATAAAAGTAAGGAAATAAATATGCACAGAAAGGAATTAAAAAGTGTTTTCCAAAACTTGATTCGCTTCGTTGACTTTCTTAAAAATCGAGACTAAAGAATTTTATTTAACGAAATTAAATACATTATAAGTTTACACATTTATAAAGATTGTTAAAGTTTCAGAATCGTTTTGTGTTTTACATCTAAGTACAGGAAAGACGATGAAAAGTCATATTCATTCATTTAACGTACTTCAGAATCTGTCGTGGATGGCATGGTGGTTAACAGAAGCTGACTGAAAGGCCAACACAGCGTTGATGTGACTTCTGAGCAAGGCTTTGCCCTAGATATGTGTCTGTCTTCCACTTCTTGCAGGTTCAATATCAGTCTACAGGTGAGCTCTGTGCAACTTAACCTGTATATCAGTCTACTGGTGATTTGACAGCTAAATGATTGATAGCTTAGGCCACTGTCAACGAAAACTTTCACGAAAGCGCCCAGCTATTGGACAGATAAAAAGTGTGCTTCAAAGAGAGACTTTAAAATTTGTTAGCCTCGCAAAAGATTCCATTGAAATTAAATAAAAATTTATAATAAATTTAAAGGTATCGTTTCACACTGAGCAGATATAAGATGCATAACATGTATGTACAATTTTGCTTAACAACACAAATCAGAGCATTTCAGAATGAGAGCAAAAGGATTTGACTTTTATTTATTTACTTATTATGAATAGTCTTGCAGGAAACTAGCTGACCTTTTAAGAAATGGAGGAAACCTGCCAGTGTATACACATATTCAAGATATTAATAGATTTACTATACATATACTTTTTTAAATAGGAGAAAAACATTATTTTATGAAATTATAAGGTATTCCTCCCGCTTTTCTAGCGTGCCTTCGTTGTGTAGTGAATCTGTACACTAGGCCGGTATTCCAGAGATCCGTGGTTCGATTCCCGGCGAAGGCGATTGCTAATTTTTCAATCTTTTGCTTACAAAAATCCTAATGTCTTTACAGTGGCGCCCAAACTAAAAGAGTTTTGGATGAGAATTCTCCTCACCCAGGATCTGGCGATTGGGTCCTTTAAAAACCCCAGTCGTCCTTTAAAAGGAGGAGTATATAAGGTATTTCTCCAGCCTTTCTAGCGTACCTTCGGGGTGTAGTGGTTCTGCACGCTGGGCCAGTATTCCAAAGGTCCGTGGTTCGATTCCCAGAGAAGGCGTTTGCTCATTTTTCATCTTGCCTGCTTCCAAAAAATAACCTAATGTCTCTACAAAATATTTGAAAATATTAATACCCTAGGTGGGTTTGGGGAAAACCTTTTTTTCTTATTATTGCAATAAACAAAACTTTTATATAAATAAACCACGATTTGTGTATGTGGAAGTAGAATAAGATTTTAAAAATTATTTAAATAACAGTTTTGTTTTACTTAAAAACTGCTATTTATTTTCTGCTAAATTAATCTGAGATAAAGGAAAATTAGCTTCAGAAAGGTTGGACACCAGCTTAGAAAAACGACAACCTAGCTTTTAGTACCTGCAACATGCTAAAGATGGAGAGGTCTAACGAAAAATTTTGAAGAATGATTGTTTGCTCGACCTCTGTCTAACACACCTAAGAAATATATCTGTGGGAAGCATTTGTTTCGTATCTGACCGAATTTTGGGAACGCAAACTGTTTAAGAGTAGGTCAAGTAAAGAAATATACATTTGAATAGTTTGGTTTAGCTCAAAAGCTCCTTTTACTTTCGTGATATTTCTTGTTAGCTTACATTTTTGTTTACTCAGTCTTCCAGGAGCATATTAAAGTTCTGCTACTTTCCGTTTGCTGGTTATACGGAAAGATTAACTTACTTTTGTATGCGTTTCTTTATAATGGCAGATTACAAATATAATTGTAGACAACGTTGTGTATACATTGCTTGTCCATTTCAAAATTTGCCATTATTTAGGAAGATTTCATTATGATAATTTCATGTCAGAATCTAATACATATGTTTAGATCTGAAACAAGAACTTTGTTTTGACTTCTGAACTTTACAAAGAGAATCCTTAAGGAAATAATGGATAAATCACAAATTTCAAGATTCTAAACAATAGAATGTTCATATTAATACTATTAATAATATTGTTATTAATAATATTATTAATAATACTATTAATAATATTGTTATTAATAATATTACTATTGCTAAATTTTTACTATTTACGCTCAAGTGTCAAATAGTGGCACTGATCAGTCTATACAAAGTACGCAATAAAGTTAAATATGCATGTCATTGGTTGGGGTAACCAGAGTCATCGTAACGATAGGAGAATTCTGAAAATTTTAGTAACTGTTTTCACCCTCAAATTGGCAAGTTTTATGATGTAAGCAATTTTTAATGCAGTCTAACAGATGGAGCTCCTGAAATGAGTGACAACATTTCAGAAGCAAAGTCAAACATTGAATTGCATATGATCATTACACGCATGAACTGCGACTTCAAGTGTTTCGAAAAAATAATTACGGTAACACTCTGACCATAAAATCTTTCTGAATGAACGTGACCACCATCAGTTGCATTGAAATGATTCAGTTACTTCTTCAATTACTTTACTTATCAAAGAGCTTCTACGTTCATGAGACGTCAAAAAATATCACATTACAAATTGTGAAATTGTCCGTTCTTTATATAAACTTTAACAGCCAACACGAAATCATATTACCCCAGAGGACTGCTCAACACAGAGCTTTATTTTAAAATTTATTACGAACTCACAGAATGGTATCAGGCAAAGGGACGGATACGCGTGGAGGACGTTTTAAGGGAAATTCGCTTGTATCCACGCTACACATGTGGAAAAGCACAGAAACGCGCATGCAACCAAACTGTTCGACGGGATTCGAATCCCGAATTGAACTATCAGTGCTCAGCGACTTTGCTGCTCGGCTGCTAGTGGGCGAGACAGAGCTCTAAAGCTCACCAAATTCGGCAACTTGGAAACTGGAGACTTAATGACTGGAAACTTGTAGCGTGGTCTGACAAGTCGCTTTTCATTCTGTTTCGGACATACAGATATGTAGTAGATATGTGTGTAGAAAAAACCATGAATCCATGGATTCTGCATGTAAACAGAAGATTGTACAGGCTGTAATAAAATACATTTAGTTCACATTTGTTTATTTATTAATAAACCTCTGGCGTCTGGCAGTTAAGCAGTCAGATATCTGCGTTGTAACATTTATGGATTACAGAATTAAAACTATTAATTGCAGAACACGTTTTTTAAGTCCTCTTTGTCCAGAATTATGAACAGAACACACAGGAATTTTTCCTGAGACAAAACAGATGAGCATTAAAGAAGTCATATCTAATTAAAAGAATGAGACGC